GGTGTGAGTCCGAGTAAGTTCATGCACGGGCCCTTTAAGAGGAGCTGCCTGGAGCTCCAGCTGCCTCAGCCTCCTTCAGCCTCAGTTTCCACTGTTTTTTCCAGCCAGAAGTTATGGGGACTTCTCTTCCTGGCACTGGAACCCTGAGCTGGGTGCCTGGTGTGGGATGGGGACCCCTCAGTCCTCAGGGAGGACCTTCCCAGCCAAAGTATCCTTCTAATTTTTTTCTGCTACACGTGGGTGTGGGACCAGCTGGTCCACGCGTCCACTCCTCCCACCAGTCTCAATGTGGCTGCTTCTTTAATTTCCTAGTTGTAGAACTACCATTCAGCTTGATTTCAGGTGGTTTTGAATGATGGTTATTCTGTAGTTTAATTGTAACTTTGATGTGGTTGTGGGAGGACACAACACTGCTTTTACCTACGTCGCCATCTTGACCAGAAGTCGATATAGCCATTTTAATGAGTTGGTATTAGTTCTTTAAATATTTGGGGAATTCATTAGTGAAGTAATTGGGTATAGAACTTTTCTTTTTCAGATTATTGGTTAATGATTCAATCTCTTTACTCATTTAGATCTTCACATTTTTTAATTCTTCATGACTCAGTCTTGGTAGGTTTTGTGTTTCTAGAAATTTATTCGTTTAATCTAGGCTATCCAGTTTGTTGGGGAACAGTTGTTCATCGTACTCTCTTATAATCCTTTCTATTTCTGTAAAATTGGTAGTAATGTCCCCACTTTTATTTCTGATTTAAGTAATTTGAGTATTTTCTTTTCTGTTCTTATTATTCTATCTAGCTAAAGATTTATTATTTTGTCTATCTTTTTAAAGAACTAACTGTTGGTTTCATTGATTTTTCTCTGTTGTTTTTCTGTCCTCTATTTTGTTTATGTCTGCTCTAATTTTTATTATTTTCTTCCTCTTGCTATGTTGGGTCAATTTTCTCTTCAAGTTTTTGTAAACTTAGGTTGTTGATTTGAGATATTTCTTGTTTTTTGAAATGTAAACATTGATTCTCCCCTAGAACCACTTTTGCTACATTTCATGAGTTTAGGTATGTTGTGTTTTCATTTTCATTCATCTATGTATTTTCTAACTTCCCTTGTGAATTCTTTGTTGATCCTTTGGTTGCTTAACAATGTGTTGTTTCATTTCCACAAATATGTGAATTTTCCAGTTTTTCTTCTGTTACTAACGTCTACTTTACCTTGTTGTGATTGAAGAAGATAATTTGTATGATATATTTTCACATTTATTGACATTTAATTTGTTATCTAATATATGGTATATTCTGAAAAATGACCCCTGTGCACTTGAGAAGAATGTGTATGCTGTTATTTTTGGGTTTAATATTTTGTATACATCTGTTAGATATAGTTAGTTTCTTGTGTTGATTAAATTCTCTATTTTCTCACTTAATTTCTGCATGCTTAGTCAATCCACTATTGAGACTGGGATATTGAAGTATCCAACTATTACTATACAGTTGTCTATTTTTCTTCTTCAATTCTATCAGTTTTTGCTTTGTAAATATGGTTGATCTGTTATGTATGTAAATGTTTACAATTGTTATATCTTCTTGTATTGAATATTTTATTAATATATAATGTCCTTTGTCTCTTGTAACCTTTCTTGTTATAAAGCTATTTGTCTCAGATTAGTATAGCCACCCCTGATGTTTTTGGTTTCTCTTTGCATGGAATTTTTTTTTCATCCTTTCACTTGCAATCTATCTATGTCTTTGAATATAAAATGAGTCTCTTGTAGACAGCATAAAGTTGGATCCTGTGTTTTTATCCATTCTGTAAATCTCTGTCTTTTGATTGGAGAGTTTAATACATTTACATGTAAAATAATTACTGATAGGGAAGGACTTTTAGCATTTTGTTACTTCAGTCATTTCTGTAAATATTTGTTATTTTGTTTTTATCATTTGATATTTTATTTTGTTATTTCTGTATGCCTTATTATTTGTCTCTTGTTTTCTGCATTGCTGTTTTCTTTTATATTTAGTTGACTTTTTGTAGTGAAATGTTTAAATCCCTTGCTTACTTTGTTTTGTGTATATTTTATACCTATTTTCTCTGTGGTAACCATGGGAATTACATTTAACTTAAAGTTATAACATTTTGAATTCATAACAGCTTAACTTTTATGACATAAAACAGTGTTTCTTTCCAGCCCCATCCCTATCTTTTCAGTTGCCTAATTGCTCTTGCACCATTTGTTAAAAAAAAAAAAAAAAAAAATTAATAAAACTCCTCTTATTCCATTGAATTGCTTTTGCACCTTTGTCAAAATTCATTTGGGCATACTTGTGTGGGTCTATTTCTGAGTATCAAATTATATTTCACTGATCTATGTGTCTATGTCTTCTAATACCATACTGTTTTGATTACTGTAACTATATACTAAGCCTTGATTTTGAGTAGGGTGATTCCCTCCCAGTTCTTCTTTTTCAAGATTGTTTTAGTTTCTTTAGTTGTGCTTTTCCATATAAATGTTAGAATCAGCTGGCTTAATTATACAAAACACATTGCTAGGATTTTGATAGGAATTTCCTTAAGCCTGCAAATCAGTTTGAGGAGAATCAACATCTTTACAATGCTGAGTCTTCTAATCCATGAACACATATGTCTCTCCATTTATTTCAATAATTTTTGATGACTTTCATTACATTTTTTAGTTTTCAACTTACAAGTTTCTATGCTTAGTTTGTTAAGTTTATTTTATTTTTAAAAAATATATTTTTGGTCCGGCCGCTGTGGCTCAGTGGTTGAGCATCGACCCATGCACCAGGAAGTCACCGGTTCGATTTCCGGTCAGGACATGTGCCCAGGCTGTGGGTCCAATCCCCAGTGGGGGGCATGCAGGAGGCGACCAGTTGATGTTCTCTCTCATCAATGTTTCCATCTCTCTTCCTCTCCCTTCCTCTCTCTCTCATAAAAAGAAATCAATAAAAAAAATTTTTTTTAAATATGTTTTTATTGATTTTTTTTTTTAAGAGAGAAATAGAAATGTTGATGTGGGGAGAAATATCCATCAGCTGCCTCCTCCACGCCCCCTACTGGTAGTTGAGCCCACAACACAGGCATGTATCCTAACTGAGAATCAAACCTGGACCTCTCAGACCATGGGACAACACTCAGTCCACTGAGCCACATCAGCCGGACTAGTTTGTTAAGTTTGTATCTAAGTTTTAAGTTTTCTTTGGAGTGATTTTTAATGGTATTGTGTTTTTAATTTCGGTCTCTATATGTTCATTATTAATATAAAGAAATGTGATTGTTCTTTGTGTTGGTTTTAAAATATTTAAAAAGTAGCTGTTTTCTTGTTTCTCTCTCTCTCTTTTTTTTTTTTTATCCTCACCCAAGGACATTTTTTCATTATTTGTTCAGATAGAATGGGAGGAAGAGAGAGAGAGAGAGAGAGAGGGAGAGAGAGAGAGAGAGAGAGAGAGAGAAACATTGACGTGAAAGGGACACATCGAGTGGCCGCCACCCACACAACCCAAGCAGGGCCAGGGACAAACTGCAACTGAGGTACATGCCCTTAGCGGCAATCGAACCCAGGTCTCTGGACTGTAGGCCAACACTCCAACCACTAAGCCAAACCGGCCAGGGCTTATTTATCTTTTAAATGTATATGTAGGTGATCTGTAGAATTGTCTTAGAGACATATTGGGTAACTAATTGACAACACTCCTGCAAAGGTGGTATTATTACCTTTAGTTTATATGCTGAGTGTAAGAACTTGCCTCGTCAGTATATGACAGCAGCAACAGAAACTTAAGCTTATAGAGAGCTGTTTCCAATATGCTACCCAACTCAAATTTCCAAAAAAAATTCTGAAGGCACTTACATAGTGTATTTTTGGAGAAATTTAATCCCTGAAAACGATAACTTGAATTACTAAATATTTCTGTACTTATCTTCTTCCTGTCTCTGGACAGTACAGAAGTATCTACTGACATTTAGTGCATTGGGAAAAGTTTGGTTGCATTTTCCTTACTCAGTGTTTGTTAAAGTTCTTTATATTTGAATTTTAAATATTCACCAAAGTGGTATTCATTTATTCATTCTTTCAATTACTATTTTATATTTATACATATATATGTATATATATTTTTTCTTTTATTGATTTTTTGGGAGAGAGAAATAGAAACATTGATGTATGTATGTATTTTTTTATTAAAAATGTTTTTTGTTTGTTTGTTTGTTTTTTAGTGAGAGAGGAAGGGAGAGAGAGAGAAAAAAAAAAACATCCATTGGCTGCCTCCTGCATGCCCCTCACTGGGGATCGGAGCCGCAACCCAGGTAGGTGCCTTGACCGGGAATCGAACTGGACCTCTCAGGCCATGAGACAACACTCAGTCCACTGAATCACACCAGCCAGGCATCATTCCTTCAATTACTATTTAAGAAGGCAGGGAGTATACTATGTACTGAATATACAAAGATGAATAAGACACTGTCTCTGCCTTTAATTTGTTTACACCCAAGTAAAGAAGACTGATAGAAAAGCAGATAGAGCGTTGTCAAGTGCTTTGACAAAAGTAAGTCTAGCTCCTACCCAATAATGTGCTGAAGCTTGTTCCTACTGGCTTGTGGGAGCCAATTATCAGATACTCAGAAACTCTGAAAACCTGTTTTACCAGTGGCAGCTTGAAGTTGGCTATGGTTGGAGTATTTTTACACCATGGAAATTAGCAAGTACTACAGATGGGGTTTTTCTTTTCTGTTCTTTTTCTTTTTCCTTTCATTTCCTCTTTCCATTTTTTTCCCCTTAGGATATCCAGTTTACTATAATACCACAAATCCATCCCTTTATCTAATTGCAACATGGGCCCATTCTGCATGTCATTTCATGAGTTGCTTCAGGACCAGCTGCTTCTGGTGATTTAAGCCACAGCCTTTCACAAACCTGGTGGCTGTTCCCCTTTTAGATAATGAGGGTAAGGCTAAGTCTAAATCTCCTGTGGGTTCTGTTTTTGTTCCAGAGACTATAAAGCAGCTAACATCACCATCAACTTGTATATCGTCAATGAGCCTTGGCTCTTCTCACTGGCCTGGTGCTCCAGGATTCACTCAGTGACCACAGACAACATTCAGCTTCTGAGGCAGATAAATCACCCTCATTACGTCATGGTGAGCTGATGGTCCAGATTGTTCTTCCAAGTCCGTATAATAGGGGTTCATATCCCCTGCCCCACAGGTACATAGCCCACTGTGTAGTTGCCTGGGGAACTACTTAAGAGCGGAGATTTCTATTATACTGGAGATGCAGCATTCTCCCTTTCCTCACCCAGGTCCTCCTGTGATTTTTCAGGGAGACATTAGTATTATTCTAATACCTGCTGATTATCGAATCCTTACAGTATTCTTTTTATACATTATATAATTTAGCCTTCTGAGTTAGCCACCGTTAATTATCCCCATAGAAAACTGAAGTTTGAAGGTATAACGATTCTTGCACATTGTTGCATGAGGCAAGATTCAGAATGAGGTCTGAGTCTCGAGTTTTGTCACTGCAGCCCCACCCTCCTAGAGGCAATGACAGTGGCATAAGGTGTGGGGAGAAAAACAAGTGTGCTTCACTCCAAAGTGAAACTGTGTGTCCTGAACAAAATGTTATTTGAAGAAGAGAGCCAGTGTCCGGTCACCTAGCTTGATTTCCCCTTCTGGCCCTGCTGCTGCTTATTGCCAGAGGCTTAGGGGCCTGAAGACCTGATTTATAGTCTTAGCTAAATCTCATCCCTGAGGGAGCCCAGCTAACTAGTTAACTGCTACAGAGACTTTTTCTTATCTGTGTCAAGTAGGTTGCCTGACTGGGACACAATAGTGTACACCAGAAAACAGCTTACTTTTTCTCCATGGACACTTTACACTGCTCTGTGAACTAGCTTGTTCCCTGCCCCTGAATGAAATCTTACTCAGGTCTCATAGCTTTTCTCGTCACTCTTAGATAATTTTTAAAGGTTCACTTTAGAACACCAAAAAGCCTCAATTCAGAATCAAAAGTAATAACTCAAACTTCAAACTGCCTTGAAAGTAAAAGCTTTAGGCAAAGAAGTCTAAAAAACTCAATGAAAACAGAGTAGGTCATTAAAAAATAAACTGCATTTGAATTAGGTGTGAGTAAAATGCTCACATTGTCTTCTCCATACTCCAGCCTTCCCAGCCTCCTTTTCTGACTCGGTCAGGGTTAGGACCTGGAGAGGGGATCTGGGTCAAGGGTACAATCTCACAGGGCCCAGGTTGCATTGAGGCCCTCTGGTGGCATTGTAAAATTGCTGACTCCTATTGGTAGCTTGAGCAGTGCTCTGGAGGTGACCCTGAAGGAAACCTTGGATGGCAGGTCCCTTGGCAAAGGTAAAATCTCTCCACCTGTCTGTCTTTATATAATTCCCCTTCATGTGTCTACTACTTATTTTTCTAACATTTTTGTTTTTAAAATTGATTACAAAGAAAACGTGTTTATTATATAAAATTCAGTCATTACAAAAAGATGCAACACACTCACTCCTCCATAATCCTATCCCCATAAATCAACATTGTCTCAAAGTTAAATAAAACTTCTCATTTTAATACTTAAATTGGTAATATTTGAATTAATAATAGATTCCTGTGATTCAAAATTCAAAAAGATGTTTTAAAAGTGTATAAGTAAAAAAAAGACTAAACATTTTCTTTTACACCTGGCCTGAGCTTTTGTGAAAAGACCCCGTGTCGCTTTGTTCAGGGAGGCAGGGCCAGCATCACAAAGCTTTCCCAAGCAGCCCACAAAGTCACATTGTACACAGGCTTGCATTTGGGGAGGACTATTTTGGTCATTTTATAACATACCTTCCCCATTTTATTTTTAATTTAAAATATTCATTTTTGGCATAAATTCAAAGTCTTTGAGGATAATTTAGTTGACTGGATTCTGTGTTCTCTTGCTTATTTAGACATCCAGATGGACCAGCTATGATTTCTAAGTTTCATTAAAGCAGAACAAGACCATAGTCATAGGGAGAAACAATCTGAATGAGGACTACACCCAGATTTTTATAATCTTCCTGCCCCAATCTCTCATAGCATTTTACTTACACCTAATTCAAATGCAGTTTATTTTTTAATGACCTACTCTGTCTTCACTGGGTTTTTTAAATCACCAACTTAGTTTTCTCAAAATTGACATACTTTTTTTTTCACGCAGATTTAAGTAACATTTCACTGCACAATTATAACAATAAAAACAACTGTTCTAAGCCACTTGAGGAGCAAGAACAACCTATTCTTGGTGTTGCTTGGTGGTGCTCACCTGGTGGGCATCCTGGAGCAGGCCAAAGCATCAGTCAGTATGTCTCCCGGAGGAGATTAGCAGCCTCAGTTTAGTGGAAGGTGGTTGAGAGCTTCTACTGTATCTGCCTAGTAGGGCTGTTGAGAGGACGAGATGTGAACAGACCCTTCAAGTGCTTAGAACACTTCCTTAGCTCCTGTAAATGCTCATTAATGGTTCATTGTTCTCATTAGTATCAGGATCAATGGTGTTTTTATTAATATCTTTATTCAGTCCAAGGAAAGACCTTGGGATAGGGAGGAGAATGGCCTAAGAAAGAATAAAAAGTGCCAGCCCCAGTAGCATCAAGTAAGGGGAACAGTGGAGGAGGAAAGGGAGGATCAAACCGGGGAATTAGAAAATTCACACAAGAGGCCCCAGGAGATGGAGCTCTGGGATGTGTGTGATTCAGGCGAGGAGTGTGGAGAAGGGGGCATGTTAGGTAAGGGAGAATTATAATTTCAGCCTACTTGAAGCATCATGATATAGAACAGTGGTTTGTAAATGCTGGCTCACTGACTGGTTACTTCAGCATCATCTGGGGAGCCCATTAAAAATGCAAGAATTCTAACTTCTGAGGTCTGTAGGGAGCCGCAGAAACCTGGGTCACTGGAAGCCATGGTGTGAAAACACAGAGCACTGGAGCTCAAGAACTTGGGCTGTAGTCCTGGGTCCAGCGCAGACTTGCCATGTGACTTCTCTGGGACTCCCTCAGGCCTCTGTGTTGAGGGTCAAAGGAGATGAAGGGTGTGAAGTTTTATCCCTTGCAGAGCCCCGGACACATGGAAGGGGTGATTGTTAGGAAAGCAGCAGGTATTCTCTGTGTTTGAGACCACCACATCAAACAGGCTTCCTCCACCTGGCCTGCCCCTCCGCTCCCTCCCCAGCCCTCGCAGCAGACCAAGGGACTTGGCCCATATGATTGAAAATCCCTTCCAACAATAAAATTATTTGATTGTGATTTATTTTGTATTTTGTAGACACCAAGTCACTATACGTTCATATGGTTTCTCATGGATAGTGTTTCTGCGATTTTCATTTTTGCCATATTTTATTTTCATTGGTAAGCATATATTTGTAATTTAAATTTATTTAAAATTTAAGTATAGTTGGTTGGTATACAATCTTATATTTATTATATTAGTTTCAGATTTATAATATAGTGATTCAAGAGTTTTATACCTTGCAACGTGATCACACTACTAAATCTGGTTATCATCTGTCATCATGCAAACTTATCACAGTAGTATTGACTATATTCCCCTTCCCCTTTTACCGCTACCCTCACCCTTCCCTTCTGGTAACCATCCCTTCTTTATTCTGTGAGTCTGTTTTTGTTTTGTTTGTTTGTTTTTTAGATTCCACATATAAGTGAAACCATATGGTATTTGTCTTTCTCTGCCTAACTTATTTCACTTAGCAAAATACTCTCTAGGTATATCCACCTAGATTGCTTACATATCTTGGCTATTGTAAATAATGCTACAATGAAAATAGGGGTGCACATATCTTTTCAAATTAGTGTTTCCATTTTCTTTGGACAAATACCCAGAAATGGAAATCCTGGGGTATATGGTATATCTGTTTTGAGGAATTTCCATACTATTTTATATTTATAATATTACTTTGTTGTTGTTTTTTCAAAATAAAAGTATAAATGGTTCTTATGAAAAGTTGAGAAAAACAGTTAAACACTCTTCCTATAATCCATCCCTCATGGCAAGTTCTCAGGAAGGCAGGTTAATAATCTGAACCCTTCATTTCTTCCCATGCTGCCTACAGCTCATCACACCCCTTCCACCTCCTCAGCACAGGACAGTGTGCTAAGGATAAGGACTGTCACTAAAGCTCAGTTAAAGCCTGTTACCACAGATTCTGTGGATCAGGTGGGAGAGGACAGGGTTGAAGGTTGTCTAGAACAAGTGCCTCTATATTCCCACCTTCCACAAACTGGACATGGTGGGGTGCTGTGTAAACGGCATGTTCACAAGCCCTGAAGATGGGGATTTAGCCCTGGATTTTTCCCCTTAGTTGCTGGGTGACCCTGGGAAAATCACTGTCCTTTTATAGGCCATAGTGTTTATCTGTCCAAGAAAATTACATTTGAGAATCCTTGTAGGGCAAGTCCTACAGGATTGCAAGGTTCAAGTTGGAGAGGAAAAATGTAGGTAGAAGAATTTTAGCTAGAGGAGACTGTGGTGGTGTAGACCTCATCATGCCCATCATTTCTTCATTTGTGATTTATCCTTTATAGGAGAAAACTACAAATCCTCTGCTTAAGTGAGAATTTTACTGGATAATGTTTCTTTTCTGGCTACTGCCTTGGATTATTGTTATATTTGGAAGTGGTCTGTGAGGCTCATGGATAGTCTGCTTCCTTCCAGGTGGAGAGAGAATGAAAAAAGAAAAGTCTTGGAAAATACCCGCAGACATGCAGGTAAAGTCAGAGGCCTACTCCACTTCTGCCTATTGCTTGCAGATCACAGGGCCTTCTTTTCATGTCTCTGACAAGAGCTGAGGGAGTCTGGGAATTTGGGAACTTGGCACCAGGGAAAAATTGAGAAGTGTAGGTGGGCAAAGATTCTGGAGACTTGAAATCAGGCTTCATTTTGGACTTCATTCTCTAAGTAATGAGACCCCTTGGAAGTTGCTGAACATGGTGTTTATTTGTTCATTTGTTTTACTTTCTTTCACCACACTTTGTACCGGGCACTCTGAGAAAGGACGAATATAACTAAAAACTGTCTATGGCGATGGCCCAAGAGAGCGGTGGGTTGGCCCCCAGGGAACAGTAAAGAAGCCGACAGAAGCATAGCAATCGACACCATTGGGCCAGGCACCCAGATCCAGGACAGAGAGGCTTCCATGCCAATTAGGGCTGAATGTGCTTTATAGGGCTCCAGTTGTGGGCAGTGTGTGTGGGAGGCTGTGGGGGGACACAGCAGAGGTCCTAAAATGCTCTGCATATAAGCAGTCAGAGATGGCAGGTGAGTTTCAAACAAGGGAGCTATATTCTAGATTTCTATGCAAAGGAATGGACTAACAGAATGACTTTTTATTTGGTAGGAGAACTTGGGCTGAGGAAGGGAGATAGACCCAGTAAGGGGAGGGAAGCTAGCTTTAATCTTCAAAAGGAGATACTCACACAGTGAGCGGTTGGTTTGGGAAGCCAGTGCAGTGGCAAAGGGCAAACCAATTAGGAAGCAGAGAACTGTGCAGTACATGACGCAGTTTCCTTTCACAGCACCTAGAGCCTTAAGTAAAGTTGCCAGTTCATCAATTCACTTAATCTCTCATGGACAGTGGGTGACTATCCCGAGATGCTGTGCACCAGCTGGCAGAGGGTTGAACTGATACAATCCTTAAGAGTCAAGAATGGGTCCATAGGGACCATGAGAAAATAAGTTCAGAAATTTGAATACATTAAATGGAAGACAGTAGTGTTTTATACAGTTGTCCCTCATTTATCATGGTTAATCCGTTTCAGACTCTAGCAGTTGCACCTGGCGTTGAAGGATTCCTGGGGTGCTCGAATACATAGGCCTACAGTCCATACATACAGTAATTTTTATTTTAATTGTAGTACAGGGGTATATAATTGATTCAGGCAACCGAGCGCACGCTGTATCATTTTCACAGTCTCAATCAACTTTTTTTTTTATCCTTACCTGAGGACATTTTTCCATTTTTTTGTTCAGATAGAGTGGGAGGGAGAGAGAGAGAGAGAGAGAGAGAGAGAGAGAGAGAGAGAAACATCGACATGAAAGGGACATATTGAGTGTCTGCCTCCAGCACGACCAACCAGGGCCGGGGACAAACTGCAACCGAGGTACGTGCCCATACTGGGAACCAAACCTGGGTCTCTCTGGACCGCAGGCTGATGCTCTAACTGCTGAGCCAAACCGGCCAGTGCTCGATCATCTTTTTAATGAACATATTTGAAAAACCACGATAGAGCGAAGCTGCGAGAGACGACTGTACTATAAAACTGAATGTTTCCCCATATCTCTTGAGGGGAAGAGAGTTCTCAAGCAACACTGAGTTATATGAATTTAAGAAGATCGCTCTATTGGCTATTAAGAGGTGTGAAGGCTGCATTCCAGATATTGTATGGTTTTCATGCGGTAGTTGTGTGCGTAAACTAAGGCTGCCATAACAAAGATCATGGACTGGGCAGGTTAAACAGCCGAAACTTATTTTCTCACAGTCAGCAGATTTGGTTTCTTCTGAGCCCTCTGTCCTTGGCTTGCAGAAAGCTGCCACCTTGCTGTGTCCTCACACAGCCTTCCTCTGTGCGCCCACGCATCCTCAGTGTCTTTCCCTCTGTCCAAATTTTCTCTTCTCCAGTCAAGTTGGATTAGGGTCTACCCTAAAGGCCCCTGTTTAGCTGCCTCTTTAAATGCCTTAATTCCAAGTATAGTCAGATTTTGAGGTACTAGGGGTTAATGCTTCAATGTGTGAATTTGGGGGCACACAATTCAGCCCATTGCAGTAAATCAACCAATAATTACAAAGAACATGAAAATGGTGAGGAAATCATGGACAAAAGAGAAGTTTTGAAGGCAAGTTGGAAGATATGTATACATTTGAATGAAGGAAGTGGCTGTAATGCCTTAGAAAAAATCGTTAGCTTGATCTCTATACTCCAATCATGTTGAAATGATAAGAAAATAAGGAGAGTAGAAAATAAATTGATGTTTTCCTGTTTTTTTAAAATTTAATTTAATTTTCAGATAGAGCGGGAGGTAGAGAGGGAGGAAGAAAGAGAGAGAGAGAAACATCTATGTGAGAGAGACACATCAAGTGGTTGCCACCCACACAACCCCAACCAGGGCCAGGGACAAACTGCAAACGAGGTACGTGCCCTTAGTGGGAACCAAACCCGGACTCTGGTTCGAGGGCTGGTGTTCTAACCACTGAGAAAACCAGTCAGGGTTTTTCCTGTTTTTAAGAGTTTTTAGTTTGCTGTTACAGAAACCAGTTTTGCCTGATCTAATAAAAAATAAAATGTGCCCTGGCCGGTTTGGCTCAGCGGTTAGAGCGTCGGCCTGCAGTCCAGAGAGACCCGGGTTCGGTTCCCGCTAAGGCCATGTACCTCGGTTGCAGTTTGTCCCCGGCCCTGGTTGGGTTGTGAGGGTGGCAACCACTCGATGTGTCCCTTTCACATTGATGTTTCTCTCTCTCTCTCTCTTCCCCACTCTATCTGAACAAAATATAAAAAATAAATAAATAAAATGTATCAAAATGCTGTTTGAGTACCTCTAGGAAATACCTAGAAGGTGCAGGACTGGGTTTAGAATCCTGGAAGGAATAAGGAAGATTGGATGGAAGCCAGAACCTTAGTCCAGTTCCATTCAGGTTGAGGGGAATAGAGCCTCCAACACTAAGTACAACTTGCACCACATCCTCAGCATATAAAGTATATGAAAAAATACACTTAAAAAAATGGAGCATTACTGGAAACAAAGATTTCATACTGATAAAAAGGTCACTATATCAGGAAGGTATAATAATTATAACTGTGTATGCATTTAATAACAGCTTCAAAACACATGAAACAAAAACTGAATGAAAGAGATTTATAGTCAAGAGATTTTAACATTCCTCCCTCAATACTTGAAAGAGCAACTGAAAACACACACAATATGATCGGAAAGTATGTAGATGTCTGAACAACACTTTTAGTCACCTTGACCTGAACAACATAAAACAGTATACCAACAACTAAAAAGTACACAGCGTTTTTAAATGTATATGACATGGCACATTTGCAGAAATAGACCACATGACAAGCCATAAAATAGTCTCAATAAATATATTTCAAAAGACTGAAATCATACAGAGTATATTCTGTGGTCACAACAAAATTGAATAAGAAATGAACATTAGTAAAATATCTAGCTAAGCCTCTAGATGCTGGAAATTAATGTGTTTCTAAATATTCCATTAATCAAGGGATAAATCACAAGGGAAATTAGAAAATAATTTAAACTAAAGGATAATGCATATACAACAAAATTTGTGGGATACAGCTAAAGCAGGACTTAGAGGGAATT